TTATTGAGTCTTGTAAAAAAAAGTTTTTGGTGATCAATCTTTTAAAAGAAGTCAATAATTTTTACAGGCACAGTTAAGTTAGTATTTTGAGAATTGAAGATAATATTTGAAATCATGGGCAATAATGAACTATACACCACGGGCAATCTTTTAATGTCATTTTATAATTTTTTATAGAAAATTATTTTTTAAAAAATATCATCGTTTTAGTCAAGCTAAATAAAATTATTTCATCAACATTAGTCAAATTTTTTTCTTCGTCAAATAAAAAATAAAATTTAAATTAATGAGAGACTTTGGCAAATAATAATAAATAAATGGGACAAAAATTATATTCGATATTAGTGCAAGCAATCATCAATATCAGCTGTATAATAAATTGAAGTTTAGAGTTTAGAATCCGTATAGCCTTTGAAACTATAGGAAATTTTTTAAAATTGAAATGTATAAGCTATAAGCTAGGTCCTTATTGAAATGTCAAATGCAAGGCTCGGTCTTACTCACTTGGTCAATGGTCAATATTTTCCCAAATATGACTCATTCGCCTTCCATTTTGGTTCCTTCTGATAATCTCTGATTGTCTGGTATATAAATATCAGAACCCAAGTCTTCTTCCCCATCCTCATTCTAAACCAAACCCAGAAGCAATCCATTTCAATTAAATCGCTCTCATGTCTTGTTTACGAATCTCAGCTTCGCTCTCTTCTTCTTCTTCTTCTTCTTCTTCTTCTTCTTCGACTTTCAACAGAGTCAACGCCACCATTAATGTTTCCAAGCTCCCCCCAGTTCCTTTCTCACTTCCGAAAATACCCACGACGACGACGAAGCTGATTCAGGAACTCAATGGATCTATACATACAATAATTCCGTTAGAGAAAGATGCCAAAAACTCACAAGTGGATTTGTCCAAACCCAGCAAGTCCGAGGCCACTGTTAAACTATATGCAGTATTGGAGGCTGTGGCTGACAGAGTTGAAATGCATAAAAACATTGGCGAGCAACGCAACAATTGGAACTCTCTTCTTTTCAACTCCGTCAATATGATCACCCTGGCCGCCGCCGGCATGGTTGGAGTCACCACCGCCGTTGACGACACAGCACCGATGTTGGCACTCAAATTATCGTCTACCCTTTTGTTCTCTGCCGCCACCGGAATGCTTCTCATCATGAACAAGATTCAGCCGTCACAGCTCGCCGAGGAGCAACGAAATGCAACGAGGTTGTTCAAGCAGCTTCAAACTGAAATCCAAACCACATTAGCTATTGGAAATGCAACTGAGGGAGACGTCGACACTGCGATGAAGAAGGTTTTGGCACTCGACAAAGCTTACCCACTTCCCCTATTAGGAACCATGCTTGAGAAATTCCCTTCCAAATTTGAGCCTGCTGTTTGGTGGCCTAAAACAGAAGCCACCACCAGATCGCAGAAGAAAACGGATAATAAAAATGGATGGACTCCAGAACTGGAAACGGAGATGTGGCAGCTTCTTGAAGTGGTTAGAAGAAAAGATATGGAGGATTATGACAGACTAGGAAACTTGGCTCTCAAGATCAACAAAACCTTAGCCATATCAGGTCCTTTGCTCACTGGGATTGCAGCTTTAGGTTCTGCATTAGCCAGCCATGGTTCGTCTTGGCCAGGCATTGCGGCCGTCATGGCTGGGTCGTTGGCGGCGTCTGTGAATGCATTGGAGCATGGAGGCCAAGTGGGAATGGTGTTTGAAATGTACAGAAACTGTGGAGGATTCTTCAAGTTGCTGCAAGAAACCATAGAAGCAACGCTTGAAGAGAAAGACTGCGAGAAAAGAGAGAACGGTGCCCTCTTTGAAACGAAGGTGGCCATGAAATTGGGAAGAAGCGTCTCGCAGCTCAGACGACTTGCCTCAAAATTTGTTGCCTATGAGTCGGAAGGAATTGACATGGATGAATTTGCTAGCAAGTTGTTCTGAGAAGACTTATTTTTTGATTTTTTTTTGGGTACAACTTTGTCCTTTCGGACAAAAACATTATTTTATTCTTTTATTGTATTATAGCCATCTAACTTGGGACAGACCTATAGTTTTACAAAGAAGAAAGAATTTGTATAAAACCATCTTCATGATGTCTTCATTCTATTATTTTTGTATAAAGAAAGTTATATAATAAGATCTCATGGTAAATGATATATTTGAACATTTAGCTTTTGATAAAGCCCAACTATTTTAAGGTGACAACTGTTGTTCTCCACAAAAGTAATTTTTTTAAAGTTAAAAAATAATGTTATGAATATGAAATCTAAATCATTTACGTTATAATAAAACTAATAGATCGATATATGAATTTAGAGAGGAGAAATATGGGGAGTGGGTGATTTCCTTATCACTTTGATTCAAATTGAAATCGGCTTCTAAATTGTTAGGCCTTCGGTTGTTTAAAACTAATAAATAAATTACATTATTGTATTTATACTAACATAATACTCTTTTCGTTTCATTTTATAAGAGACAATTATCTAAACTAAGACAATTATCTAAACTATGTTATTTAAAATATTAGTAAAAATTAGTTGAGAACAATAAATGTGTAAAAAATATAAGTTTTTCTGTAAAAAAAAATCCTCATTTGTGTGGAAGAAAAATAACATGTGGGAATTAAATGCAATAATATAAGCAATATCAGTAATTAAATGAGATAAAATAAAAAATCAACAAATAAAATTTGAGACAACCTCTAAGTGTCTCTTACAAAAAGGAACACAACATACTATTTCACAATTGTCTCTTGTAATAAGGAACATATCAGAGAGAGGGAGTAATGCATATTCTCAAAATTCAAATAATTCTTAATGCATTTAGTACATATGAATGTTCCTAATTGCACTTAATATGTTGGATTCATAAATGGGGAGCATGTGATGGGATGAGACAAGATAATTTATGAAAGTTAAAAAAATCAGGTTCTTTGAATCTTAAAAGAGTTAGTTTAAGAAAGTAACAAAATGTATTAATACATGTAGTCCTTTTTCCAATGCAGAAAAGCCCTACGTGTAGAGTATATAATCATATAATCATGCATGTGGTCACCATCCATCAAACTTGAGATCAGAATATATATAGCCCCAAATATATAGCAGAACATAAATCATGAAGCTTGGGCTTATCTTCTCTCTATTTGTTGTTCTTGTTTCCGTCATTAGCCTCCACGCTCAAGCTCAAGGTACGTACGAGGCATATATATATATATATATGTGAGATGAGAGATTGATTAATTAATTAATAAGTAATTGTGGGTTTTAATTATTTGATGATATTAATGAATGTGGTTTGGAGTATAATAATATGATTAGGTGGTGGGAATTTGTGTCCAAAGGAGATGACTTTGGATGGAACGTGTGGAGGGACCAAAGGAGGCTACGGCTGTGCACTTGAATTCCTAGCACAGTATGGGGCAAGCGCCATGCCACAACACTGCACTTGCACTGACCTTCATCAACAAAAACGCCTCTGCAAATGTGACATTGTTTGCCAATATAATAAACTATATCTCTGATGTATCTATGTATCTACCTCCATATATATATAACATTTCAAAATATTTCTTTGTCTCCTCTATTTTTGGCTTAGATAATACTCCTCCAGTTCTAAATATAATACCCTTATATACTAATATGTATAAAGGTTTTATATTTAGGACCGGAGGAGTAGTTTGTTTTTTGTTCTCTAATAATCTTCCCTTTTTCATGAGGATAAATTTGAAAAATCCTAAAAATTTAGGACATTTAATTAACTTTAACTAATTTTTTTAATTTTATATACTCCCTCCAATGCTACGTTAGGTAGGTAAGAGTTAGATAACTAATTTATTGAAATTACTAAAATTAATTATATTAATTATTTATAAAAAAATATTTGCTTGTTTCCTTAAAAATAAAATACACCGGCAATAAAAAAAAATAAAAATAAAATACACCTTAGAAGACTGCTTGAGCCATATGAAAACGGCTTTTAATTATTTTAATTTGGAGTAACAAGCATATCTGAGTTTTCCTTAATATCTGAAATTTTCGGTTGATTCACAAATACTTCGATCCCACATTAATTCCACAATTACGTACTGACTTACTCTCCTTACCTTACATTAACACACATCGTTTTATGAAGAAGAAGAAAGGAGGAGGAGGAAGGAAGGGGAAAAAATTGTACGTGCATGTGAGAGGATTCCTTTTTCCATATTCATTTGATAAGCTTCCGCGTTTTCGGGACATTGCTTATAATCTCGCAGCTTTGTTTGAGCTTGACATTATAGATTATACATATAATATGAGAGTACATATAGAGAAAAGAGAATATCAGCCAGAAAAGGCCAAGTCCACTTTTCGATGCGTCAAGAGTCAATGTTTTCTTCGTGTCTGCCTTTTTTCCAGCCTCTTTCATTTCTCTCTATATATTCGTTCTCCCCATTTTTAATTCAACATCTCAACCTGCACCTATAACACCCCAAAGAGAAAACCTTCCAAATTGTCCCAATGTCTTCTTTACCATTCTCAATTGTATCTTCTTCATCTTCTTCTTTTTCTCATAATAGGATTCATGCTTATGCTTCCAACAGTATGCCCGAATTCGCACGAGTTCCAATCCCACTTCCAAAAATGCTCACATCATCAACTTCCAACCTGCTGGTTCAGCAGTTCAATGGCCCCATCCAAACAATAGTCCCATCACAGAAAGATGTAATCTTCACCACATCGCAAACTTTTCAGCATTATTCTTGCGACCCAAACAGGTCCAAGGCCATGATTCAACTGCATGCAATCTTGGTGGCCGTAGCAAGCAACCTTCGCATTTCCTGCTGAGAACCCAAGTCTCCAAGTGGGCCCTCTTGGCCACCCGCAACCTTGGCTTTTTAGAGAATCCCGCTCCTGTGTCGTGGGACTTGTAGCTCGGCAGTCCACCGGGTGGGTTTGTTTATCCTTCCAGTTTCGAGTGTCTTCTTGGATAGTTATAGCGGCCCATAGGCGCGAGATGTACCTTGTGGGGGGGGGGGGGGGGCGGTCCACGGGACATAGTCCTTTCAGGCAGTGGCCGTTTAGTCCATGGTCCATTGGATGGTCGGTGCAAGGCCAGAAATTGGAACGCATTGATTCCGCTCGTTCCTGTCCTTCGCTTCAGGGCCTGTCCCTCGGTGTGGTCAGTACTCCATACTGTCGGGCAGCGAAGCTTACACTTGTTCACTAATTATGACGGTTCGCCAGGGCCTCTTTCCTCCTCCCTTTTCTGCTCACTCGTAAGGGGTCCGGACCCCCACAAAGGGGGAGGGAGTCGACTGAACATCTCAGCCATTGGCGGGAATTTCGCCCGCATCCGATCCCCAATTCTTGTTCACCCCGGATGATCGTGTTGGGTGAATTGTGACCTCGTACGATCGTGTCGGGTGAGCAACAGCCGCTTCGTCACAGTACTGTGGCCGTAGCTGAAAGGATCGAAATGCACAAAAGTATTGAAGATCAACGAAACATTTGGAACTGCCTTCTTTTGAACTCCATCAACATGATGATCCTTTCTGCCTCAGCCATGGTTGCTCTCAACACAGCCATTCACAACACTGCACTCAAATTAACGTCCACTCTTTTGTTCACTGCCGCCACAGGGATGCTAATCATCATGAACAAGTTTCAGCCCTCACAAATGGCCCAGGAACAACGAAATGCGACCAATTTGTTCAAGCAGCTTCGCAGTTATATCCAAGCCAAGTTAACTCTTGGAAATCCAACTCAGGAAGACGTTAACAGCGCAATGGAGAGGGTTATGGCACTTGACAAAGCTTATCCTTCCAAGTCCGAGTGCCCAATGAAAGTTCCGGAACTAGAAAAGGAGATGAGGGAGAATATAGGAGTGGAGAAGAGAAGAGATATGGAGGACGACGTCTATGAGAGGCTACGAAACTTGGCTCTCGTGATCAACAAAACCTTAGCCATATTAGGTCCTTTGCTCACTGGGATTGCAGCTTTAGGCTCTGCTTTTGTGAGCCATGACTCGTCTTGGCCAGGCATTGTGGCGGCCATGGCGGGGTCATTGGCGGCGTCTGTTAATGCCTTGGAGCGTGTAGGCCAAGTGGGTGTGGTGAATCAAATGTACAGAAGCTTTGGTGGATTGTTCAAGTTCTTACAAGAAATCATCGAAGCAACACGTGAGAAGAAAGACGACAGCGACAAGAAAAAGACGACAACACATCATGAAATGAAGGTGGCTTTGGAGTTAGGAAGAGGCGTTAAAGTTAATCTGATGATTGGTATCTGACAGCTCTAGTAAAAATTATCTCTTTTTTTTTTTTGTGTACAAGGATTATTTCATTCTTTATGTACAGTCTCTTGGCATATAGTAAAGATTCTTGATATGCTTAAACGTTATATAAATTTGTATTAATATATGGAAAAGTTTTTATTTTGATCGAGAACAATTAAATTTTGAGGTCTGAAAATGGCACAGTCTTTTCCCCCTTCTTTTATCCCGAAGGTACTTGATTTTGATTTTAGCTTTAGCCAGACTTTGATTTGGAGGTGAGGCTGGATAATAAAACATGTCACAAGAGTCAACGTTTAGTACTCTTCTAGTCGTATTTATAAGGCAGAAATATAAGACATTTTTGGATTATGTTTATAGAGAGAATTTTTTTTATATAGATGTACAATTTTATCCTTTATTTATTATTGTGTTGATTTTGTTTATATAGGTATAATGTATATTAAATAGGAATAAAGTTAGAAAATTATTGAATTTTAAATAAAAATAATAAAATTTAAAGTTTTTCTTAATCTATATAAAACATACTGAAAATAACTTATAAATAGGATCAAATAAGTATTTGGTAAGGAGTGTTCGTCAGCCTAGCCCAAATGCTCAATACTCTAAGCCTGGTGGAATTCCACCAGCTCGGCACAAAAAAATAGCCCAAAAAATAATTGGGAACTTTCAAGCTAGGCCAAAATGCTTGGGTAGGGCTAAGCATCTGGCAAGATGTGTATCCATGCCCACTTGGCCCTGCCCAAACTATATAAATATATATATAATATACATGTATTCATTATATAATTGTATTTATATATAATATACATATATTATATTATTATATATTTGGAGGCTTTAGTTAATATGTTTGATCATGGATATCGTTCTAAGACCTATTGTGTTGTATTGGATTATATAATCATGTGTTATAGATAGATATATGAACTTGTAATATGATCTTTATATTTCTTTTCTTAGAATATTTAAAATTCAAATTAAAATATTGTTTATCAAATTTAATTGAGAGCTTCACATACTATGATAGGGCATCAGTGCTTGGACAAGAGAGCCCACCTTACCTAACCTAGCTCAGATCAAAATTATTTCGGCTTTTACCAAGGTTGAGCAGCGGACTATAAAATATAACGTGTTCATCCTTTGGGCTAGGTACCAAGCAAGAGTATTGTATAGGGTGATCAAAATTAAAAAAATTAAAAAAAAAATAAAGAAAAATTATGATTTCAACAGAGAATGACGTTTAATAAGAAAGTTATAAAATGAGATCTCATGGTAATATATTTGAATATTTAGCTTTTGATAAAGCCCAACTACTAATGTAACAACTGTCGTTCTACAGAAAAGTAATTTTTTAAGCTTAAAAATAAAAAAAATGAAAATGAATCTAAATAATTTATGTTATCAAACTAATGGACATGAACATAACAGCATAAGAAAATTTAGAGAGGAGAAACGGGGGAGGAGTCCTCTCATTCATTCACTTTGATTCGAATTGAAGTGGGATTCGTCGGAGCCCCTCTAAATTTAGAGAGGAGAAACGGGGGAGGAGTCCTCTCACTCCTCTCATTTACTCTGATTCGCATTGAAGTGGGGTTCGTCGGAGCCCCTCTAATTATTAAAAACTACTCTTTTAGTCTCTAATATAAGACATATTTAACTAACTGTTTAGATTAAGAAAGTTAAGTAAGTTAGTTAATTATAAAAAGGGTTAAGGTGCATCCACCACCTCGACGTATTTTCTTAGGTACATCCAGCACTCTAAAGTATTTTGTAGTATGTCCAGCACCCTGAAATATTTTTTTAAATGCGTTCAGTAGCGTAAAATATTTTTTTAATACATCTAGTATCTCAAAATATTTTTTTAGATGCGTATTTTTGGGTGCTATCCAGCAGCAAGGCCAAAACATTAATTCAGTGCTGAGCGCCCCTAAAAAATATTTTGGGGTGCTGAATGCACTTGAAAATACTTTAAGGTGCTGGATGCATCCGATAAAATATTTCGAGGTGCTGGATGCACATTAACTCTTATAAAAATATGACATGTTTTTTTCTAAAATACTATAATCATCTTTCTTAATATCCTCCATCCCCACTTACTTGATTATGGTTGAGGTAGTATCCATAGAGGTATTTAGAAAAAATTGATAAATATGAGAAATAGGTCTTATATTTAGGATCAAAATTAATTTAACAATTAGGTCATATATTAAGAACCGGAGAAGTAAATAACATATTAATCCTATATGTAAGACCTATTTAACATTAACTCTATTAATATTTTTTCAATAATAATTAAGTAGAGGCAGATGGAGGAAATAATGTATATAATTAAAATGTTTTAGAAAAAACATATCATATTAACTAATTTAACTAACATTCTTAATCTACTCAAATTGGTTAATTAGATCTTACATTAAGAATCAGATGAGTATTTTATTGTATTTCTACCAACTTGATATATATATTGCACATTTCTCCAATTCAAAATGCATTTTAGTACACATGATCAATGTTCTTACAAACAACCATCTATATTTACATATACCCTTCAAATAAAAGACATGTAAATATTCCTTTGACTTTTGAGGATTAAAAATATGACAACACTGCCTTTTTTCTTTTTCCTTTTTTGGTCTTCTTTACTTCCAGTAGGAGTTGACTCTGGCGAAACCAAACGCCCCTAAGACTGATGTTATTTGATAATGAATATTTGGCATTAATCTAGTAGGCGATAGGAGCGTGTGCGCGTTTTAGAGAAAATTTAGAGCATGTACAATTTCACATTAAAAACCATTAAAACATTTAAAATATAGGTTTATGTGATTTTTAAGATGAATATGGTTTTTGGTTATTTTTCTCTGATTTTAAATTATTTACTTTTTTAAAAGTATAAGATAGACCTTTTTCTCCTCTATATATGTATAAGTATAGAACACGATTACATTTTACTCACATACACATCACTATTTTTCTCTGCTCTTTTTAATGAATTTATTAAGTAATTAAATTTATTAATAATTTGATTGTGGGGTCCATACTTTATTATTTTATATTGTATATTGATATATTTGATATGCGCAGCCAATAGTTAATTAAATAGAACGAGTCTGTCTTCAAAATTTAAACGAATTGAGGTATATATTGAAACGAATAGTTAAAAAGCTGACATCCTTGCGATTGAAAGGTATAAGTACATAAAATATATAGAAAATGTCAGCCAGAAAGAGTCAATAGTCAATATTTTCTTCTCCTCAGACTTTTCTCGATCTTCCCTCTTCCTATAACTATATATATGACCCCTCGTCCTTCCGACAAAATCTCAACCTCCAACTGGAACACACCGAAGAGAAAACCTTCCAAATTATTCAGATGTCTTCTCTACAGATCTCAACTCTTTCTTCTTCTTCTTCTTGTTCTTCTTTCAGCAGAGTTAACGCCACCATTAGTGTCCCAAAACTCCCACGAGCTCCAATCTCACTTCCAAAAATACCCACAAAATCTTCAGCTCCGAAGCTGGTTCGTGAATCCGATAAGGGATCGTTATACACAATATCTCCAGCTGATAAAGCTGTCGCCAACACACAAATGCTCCGAGATTCTTCCCATCTTGACGAGTGCAAGGCCACTATTCAGCTTTATGCAATCTTAGAAGCTATCTCAGACAGAATTGAAATGCACAACAACATGGGCGAGCAACGAAACAACTGGAATGCCCTTCTTTTGAACTCTGTGAATATGATTACCCTTTCTGCTACAACCATGGTTGGTCTCAACACTGCCATTGACAATACTGCATTTAGATTATCGTCCGCTCTTTTTTTCACTGCCGCCACAGGGATGCTTCTTATCATGAACAAGATTCAGCCCTCACAACTCACTGAGGAACAACGAAACGCCACTAAATTGTTCAAGCAGCTTCAGACTGAAATAGAAACCACGTTAGCTATTGGAAATCCAACTGAGGAAGACGTCCACAGCGCAATGGAGAGGGTTTTGGCACTTGACAAGGCTTACCCACTTCCTCTCTTGGGAGCCATGCTCGAGAAATTCCCTTCAAAGTTCGAGCCTGCTGTTTGGTGGCCTAAAAGTAACAAGACGAATGACTGCCAAAAGAAAGTGGCCAGATCGCAGCAGAAAACGAATAATGGATGGACTCCAGAACTGGAAACGGAGATGTGGCAGCTTCTTGAAGTAATGAAGAGAAAAGACATAGAGGACTATGAGAGGCTAGGAAACTTGGCTCTCAAGGTCAGCAAAACCTTAGCCACATCAGGTCCCTTGCTCACTGGCATTGCAGCTTTAGGTTCTGCATTAGCCAGCCATGGTTCGTCTTGGCCAGGCATTGCGGCCGTCGTGGCAGGGTCGTTGGCGGCTTCCGTGAATGCATTGGAGCATGGAGGCCAAGTGGGGATGGTGTTTGAAATGCACAGAAACTGTGGAGGATTCTTCAAGTTGCTGCAAGAGAGCATAGAAACAACACTTGAAGAGAAAGACTGCGAGAAAAGGGAGAACGGCGAGCTTTTTGAAATGAAGGTGGCAACGAAACTGGGAAGAAGCGTTTCGCAACTCAGACGACTTGCCTCAAAATTTGTTGCCTATGAGTTAGAAGCAATAGCCATGGATGAATTTGCCAGCAAACTTTTTTGAAGACTAACTTCTTCCGTAATTAATTAGTTGATTCAATTTAATTATTTTATTTTGTATAGGAGCATTCATTTATTGTTTATGTATAGTCTCCCGGTTAGTACAAGAAATATTCTTAGTTTGACACAGAAAATATTGCACTTGTGGAAAGATGAATTTTTCCTGGAAAGAATTAAACTAAAATTTTAATGATTTAGTAACCACCACTTGGAAGTTGCAAATAAAGTCTAGTTTTATATAAGATTTGTAACATATGGAATGGATCCGTAATAGGCATAATCACTCACCTAATTACACTAAAAATTTTCAACGGTGAATTAGAAGATACTCCTCTGGTATTTAATATAGGACTTAATTGTTAAGTTGATTTTGATTCTAAATATAAGACTTATTTGTCATATTTATCAATTTTTTCTAAATTACCCCTATGACACTCCTTCAACCATAATCAAACAAAAGAGAGAGAGAGGAAGGATATTAAGAAATATGATTATAGTGTTTTAATAAAAACATTTCATATTTCTTATAATTAACTAACTTACCTAACTTTTTTAATTTAATCAAATTAGTTAAACAGGTCATATATTGAGGATCAGAAGAGTATCTTATTATCGTGTAGATCAATTAGTTATGGCAGAATTGTAACCTGATTGGATTGGGCTCATTTTGGGCCCAACAAAATACAATTTGTCAACTAGAGAGAGAATTATTTGTGAATATAAATATGGAATTCGTTAACTCAAAAGAGCGGTACAAATAAAAGAAACACATAGCATCCTGTTGCGCCGCGGAACAGTCGTTAGTTTACAACTGAATCCAATCAGTCATATGTGATTCCAATCCCAAGCATATAGCCGTTAAAACCACTTCTGCCACCCTCCAAAACCGAAACATCCATTGTCAGTTTGATGGTTCTCCTTGTTCAGTATTGAAGGACCTCCTGTTGAGTGACCAGAGTGACCCTAATCTCTGTAGTTTAGATCCTGATCCAGGCAGGCCTTGAAGAAATTGTGGTTGGCATTTAGGTTTCCGTCCCTAGTTTCATCGCCAAACAGCTTGTTGCACCTAGACACTCAAATGTCCCAACTGGCCAAAAAGCATAGACCATGGAACCTTCTTAATACTCCTTCATTTCTTAATATAAGGCCTATTTAACTAATTTGATTAGATTAAAAAAGTTAGGTAAGTTAGTTAATTATGAGAAATATACACCCTCGCTCCTTAATATAAAGTCTATTTAACTAATTTGATTAGATTAAAAAAGTTAGGTAAGTTAGTTAATTATGAGAAATATACACCCTCGCTCCTTAATATAAAGTCTATTTAACTAATTTGATTAGATTAAAGAAGTTAGGTAAGTTAGTTAATTATAAAAAATATAACATGTTTTTCCTAAAATACCATAATCATCTTTCTTAATTTCTTTCTTTCGTCACTTACTTGATTATGATTGAGGGAGTATCCATAAGGGCAATTTAAGAAAAATTGATAAATATGAGAAATAAATCTTATATTTAGGACCAAAATTAACTTAACAATTAGGTCCTGTATTAAGGACCGGAGGATTAACATATTTTTTCCTTAAAACACTATTTAATATCTTTTCTTCCTCTCCTACTTGATTATGGTTGAAGAAATATCAATAAGAATAATTTTAAAAAAATAATAATAAATATGAGAAGTAGGTTTTATATTTAGAACTATGATCAGCTCAATAATTAAGTCATATATTAAGTACGGGTAGAGCCGGAAAAACGGGCCGAGCCCGTCGGGCCGGCCCTTTTAGGCCCTGAAATTATGAGGGCCGGCTTGATATTTTTCTCTTAAAATAAAACATAAGCCTTGGAGGGCCGAGGGCTTAAAAGGGCCGGCCCTGGAGGGCCACGGGCCGGCCCTTTTAAGCCCTTTTATATTTTTTTTATTTTTTAAATTTTTTTATATAATATGAATGTTATTAATTTTTTACATTGTTAATAATATTTCAAATATTTAGTTATTATTATCATTTTAAAAGTAAATTTAGTTTTAGATAATAATTTATCCAATTAAATTTTTAAAAAATGGGTTAATTTGGACTTTAATAATGATTTGATTTATATTATATGCGTTGATATTTTTAAACTATATATATATATTTGATAATAGAATATTTTTATACTTATATAACTTGTGATTCTATAATTTGAATTAGAAATTCATGAGTTTCAACAGCAATGTTTCTCACATTAAAGTAAAATAATAGTTAGATTGCAAAATTTAAAAATAAAATTCTTATAAAGAAGAAAAACTTGATATTTTTGTTACGAAAGAAAAGTATACTTATGAAAAAAAGTAATTAATTATAGTGATGATGAAGTTTCAAAAGATTAATAATAGTGTTCATTTATTGCACAATTGCATTATAGATAAAACTTTTAGATGTTGTTATCTTGTTAATGAATGTTTTAGATGTTCTTAGATGTTAATGAATATTTATATATGATGATATTTTATATGTGACTTAATTTTATTCATATTTATGTCTTTTATTAATAATTTCATTGATTTATTTTTATAAAAAATATGATAAATATAAAAAATAGTATTTTTTCTTAAACGGGCCAAAAGCCCGCGGGCCGGCCCTGGCCCTGTAGCTTAAGGGCCGGGCCTAGCAAATTGGGATATTTTTAAAATTCCAGCCCTGGAAGGCCGGCCCTTTTAAGCCCGCCAGCCCTGAAGGGCCGGCCCTGATTCCCAGCTCTAAGTACGGGAAGAATATAAGTCATCCTTGCATCATGATTCAGATTCCATTTCATCCATGCTGCTCCTTCAAGCGAAACACACAGAGAGAGAGAGAGAGAGAGAGAGAGAGAGAGAGGGTTTAGCTCTGGCTGGATTTGTGAGAGGGGGTGAAAGTCGTTGCCTATTTCACACTCCCTGCATTCTTTTTTTTAAAATAAGAAACAATTATTACCAGTGGACAAAAACTTAGTTAAAATTAGTTAGAGACAATAAATATATGAAAACTGTAATTTTTAAAAAAAATATTTTTATTTATGAGGAAGAGAGTATGAAGAAGAAAAATATGAAAATTATTAAAATAAAAAGATTGTAGAAGAGAGAGACTATGTAGTGGAAGAATGCTTCAGGGCATGTAATAATAAGTGTATTAATATTAAAATGAGTAACTAAATGAGATAAAATGAAAAATTAATTAAAAAAATTTGAGACATATCCTAAATGCCTCTTAGGAGTTATAGGTGATAGTTGTTGGTAAAAAAGAGTTACAAGTGATAGTTGTTTTTTATAAAAATAAATAGAGTATAGTAAACTCGTAGAATAAAAATTTCCTGATTAATTACATGGCATTACACAGTTGAAAATGACTGCAAAGTTTAAAAAAAAAAAAAAGAGAGAAGAGAAGCTTCTAAGCGGACTTGATTAAATAATGGAAGGCACAATTTTTTTGAGCAAAATCAAAGGCTTTTTTACCTAGAAACTATAAACAGTAAATAAAATTATTCAGATGTTAGATTTTCAAAAATATTCATCAAGATGCTGATCTATTTAAAGAAGTTCATGCTTACTTCAAATTTATACAGAATTCATGGGAAGAACGAGTTCCATCTCATTGCTAATGTGACATCATTTTTTTAGACTACAAAATGAAATCGTTCCCAGCCTCAAGGATGTCTTCGGCACTGCGTTGCATTTTCATTTTGCGTGCCTTCCATGGGTGGAAGGAAGGATAAATGACTCTTGGGCCCACAAATTAATTGAGTGAGAAAAAAGTGTCTCAATTCACCCAACAAAATTTTTAGCAATCTCTTCATATGTATAATTTTAATGCAACATTACATCTTACTTGCACATCACTATCTTGTTCAGGTCTTTGTTGGTGAATTAATTAATCAGTAATTAGATCGTGGGTGCATACTTTATTTTATGTGGATTTTATACTCCTCCGATCCTTAATATAAAACCTAATTAGTAAGTAATTTTGGTTCTAAATATAAGACATATTTCTCGTATTTATCAATTTTTTTCTAAATTATCCCTATGGATATTCTCTCAACTATAATCAAATAGAAGAAGGAGGGAGAATATTAAAAAAGATGATTATGGTATTTTAGGAAAAATATGTCATATTTTTTAATAATTACCTAACTTACCTTATTTCTTTAATCTAATCAAATTAGTTAAATAGATATTAAATTAAGGATTAGAGGAGTATTTTATATTGAGATATTGATTTGTACAGTAGGTAGTAAATTAAATAGAACAAGTCTATCTTCAAATTTTATATTGACACGGGCAAATTCTGAAATTCAAGAGCTGACATCTTTGAGCTTGAAAGGTGTATATATAATATAATATAATATGTGACGAGTATAGAAAATGTCAGCCGGAAAAGGCTAAGTCCACTTTTTAATTCGTCAAGAGTCAATATTTTCTTCTTCTCTGACTTTTCTCTTCCCTCTCTTCTCATCTCTATATATGTGTGACCTCTCGCCTTCCCATTTTTCATTCAAAATCTTAACCTCCAAATTGTAACACACCAGCGAGGAAAGCCTTCAGAATTATTCTCATGTCTTCTCTACACATCTCAACGCTTTCTTCTTCTTCTTATTCCTTGAGCAGAGTTCACGCCGCCATTAGTGTCCCAAAACTCCCACGAGTTCCAATCTCACTTCCAAAAATACCCACATCATCGTCTGCCAAATTGGTTCAGGAACTCGATGGCTCCAAACAAACAATAGTTCCATCACAGAAGTTTCAGGATTCTTGCGATCCAAACAGGTCCAAGGCTGTTACGGATCAGAAAACAGAAACGCACATAAGCTCACTGAATGTCAAGCTGCATTAATTCATGGATAACAAATACATCTCAATCATCCAGTTACAGTATGAATTTCAGTAACTCAGTAGCAGAAAATACTAAGGAAGAAGGGGGAATAACCACACGGGTTCAAAGGGAGAGAAACAGAATAACAGAATGGCAGAGGGAGAGGAGACTACGTAAC